AGCGAATCCGGAGCTTCAATTATTCCTCCAGAAGATTGGAGACGGCTTGAGAAGCTTGTTAAAACTGTTGTTAACAATATTTATGATGAAAAGGCTGTACAGCTTCGAGAAACGGTGTCACATCTTTCTACTCAGCTTATCTTGCTTCAAAATGAGAATCAAGGCCTGAAAAGAGCTCTCATAAATGCAAAGAAGCCTAAAAACAAGAAACAGCCTTTATTACTAGGTTTACCATCAGAACAAGATGGTGGAGCGCTTTTTATGAGCCCTACTAAGGTTCAGCAAGCTCGTGATATTATTTCTCAAAAAAATGACGAAGCCGCGCAGAAGCAGGCTCATAAAGATGATAAAAAGCTTCAACAACAGCTTAAAAAGCAAGCTAGAGAGGCTGAAAAGGTTAAAAGAGCTCAAATCCGACAAGAAAAACGCGAGCAGCGTGAGCAAGAGGCTGCGGAAAAGCAACGGCTTAAGGACGAGCAAGAATTGGCTAAGCTAGCTGATTTACAGCTTCAAAATGATGTTATATCAACTCCAAAGGCTTCAAAAAGGCCTACAAAGCAAATTTCTAGGCAAGCAAAGCCAAGAGTGCAACCTGAGGCTCATGTGGAGGATAATGAGGTGGTTGTTACTACAAACCGTAGGGGCCGCGCGATACGGCCCCCTGCACGTTTTCGCGATTAACTTTTATGCTTTTTAGATTCGCCATAGCTTATTTAGTGCTACACCAGAAATTCACTATATTTAATTATTATGTGGTGTTGTAAAGCTTCAAAATATTCTGTACAGTAAGCCGTTGAAATTATTCCTCAGGTAGGGTTATTCCTCAGGCGGTGAGGGACGGTAATCAAAATATTCCGGAATATTAACGTAATTCCCAAGCGACCCGCCCACCTCCCCGAAAAATAACTCTCTATATTGATTTCTCATATTTCAACGCGTCAAAATGCCACCAATTCGCAAGAAAGATCCCTTAAAATCTGCTCAGATAGAGGGAAAGATCCAGTTAGCTATTTCTGATTTGAAAAATGGAAGAATTTCCAATATTCGTGAAGCTACAAGGATTTATGATATTCCTCGTACGACTCTCCGAGATCGACTCAAAGGCATTGAATATAAAGGTGAAAAGCGCGCCAACCACCATAAATTGACTGAATCTGAGGAGGATTCACTTGTCAAATGGGTTCTTGATTTAGATCGACGTGGATTACCTCCCCGACATTCTCTTGTACGAGAAATGGTGAATTATCTTCTACAACAACATGGAAAATCACAAGTTGGAAAAAACTGGGTGACCAATCTGATTAAACGCCGTCCGGAGATTGATTCTAAATTCGCAAGGAAATATAACTATGAACGTGCCAAATGTGAAGATCCAAAGATAATTCAAGAACATTTTGACCGCGTACGAGCTGCTATATCTGAGTATGGAATCTTACCAGAAGATATCTATAACTTTGATGAGACTGGCTTTGCTATGGGACTCTGTGCATCTGCGAAGGTTATTACTGGAAGCGATCGATATGCTCAGCCAAAGCTTTTACAGCCTGGAAATCGAGAATGGGTGACTGCAATTGAAGCAACAAATTCAACTGGTTGGGCGTTACCTTCGTACATTATTTTCAAAGCAAAGAAAAACGTACGATTAGGTTGGTTTGAGGATCTTCCAGATGATTGGAGAATCAATATTAGCGATAATGGTTGGACAACAGATCAAATAGGATTAGAATGGCTTAAAACCCATTTTATTCCTAATATTAATGATCGTACAATGGAA